CCAGAGCGTGGGGTTGAGCGCAGGCCTGACGCGGGCCGGTGTGCGTTGGCCGGCAGCCCTGGCACCCCGCGTGGGAAGCGGGGAGGGGAGGGCACACAGGAGCCTACGTGCTGTTCTAGGGCTGTGGTCGGCAAACCATGGCTCGTGAGCCACATGCAGCTCTTTGGCCCCTTGAGTGTGGCTTTTCCCCAAAATACCACATGCAGGCGAATCAGGGAGCAGAGCACAAACACTTAACAGCAAGTGGTTTGAGGCACAGATCTCACCCCAAAATGAGTAAAGAACATGTAAACTACATATTGTAGTTACAGCACTGAAAAAAAAAAAAAAGCAAGACAAACCTGGGTTTTGGTTCATTGCATATTCTATTAACAACTACGAACATGAAGCAAAGACTATGAGCACAAAGGACTACCTCCATCTCCCACTGGAAAAAAAAAAAAGAGGTCCAGGGTTAGACAGCTGATGAGTCAAGTTAGCTGTCCTAAAACAGTGGTCAGCAAACTGCGGCTCAGCAAACCGCAGCTCGTGAGCCACATGCGGCTCTTTGGCCCCTTGAGTGTGGCTCTTCCACAAAATACCACATGCAGGCGCGCACGTACAGTGCGATTGAAACTTCGTGGCCCATGCACAGAAGTCGGTATTTTGTGGAAGAGCCGGTATTTTGTGGAAGAGCCACACTCAAGGGGCCAAAGAGCCGCATGTGGCTCATAAGCCGCGGTTTGCCGACCACTGTCTAGGCAGAGGTGGGCAAACTTTTTGACTCGAGGGCCACAATGGGTTCTTAAACTGGACCGGAGGGCCTGAACAAAAGCATGGATGGAGTGTTTGTGTGAACTAATATAAATTCAAAGTAAACATCACTACATAAAAGGGTACGGTCTTTTTTTTTTTTTTTAGTTTTATTCATTTCAAACGGGCCGGATCCGGCCCTCGGGCCGTAGTTTGCCCACGGCTGGTCTAGGGCATTAGGTGGCTGCATTATTGATGGATGTCGTGCAAAATTTAAATGCTGAGCTAGGAGAGGCAGTGAAATCGCAGGGATGGCCACTTCCGGTTTCTTCCTTCTTCTTGAACTTGAAAGCGGCCAAGTCCTGCGCCAGGGCGGGCGCGGGGGCAGGCTCGTGGGCAAGCCGGTGGAGGACTGGGCCGCAAACACAGCCGGAGCTGCCCTCGCTCCGCAGGCTCACTCACGCGGCTGCAGGGGAAGGATGCCCAGCCCGTGAGCCCGAGAAGCCAAGCCCTGCCTACAGCTTTTCAATACAGGCTTCGAAACCCCCCACCACGCCAGGCCCATCCCCTGCGTGAAGGTGGGACAAGTGTGGCAGAGGCGGCCGCGTGCAGAGACGCCAGGACGCCCACCTTCCCGGGTGTGCGCCCGGGGCCTGCCTCTGAGCACCACTCCTGAAAGGGATTTGGTGGAAGAGAACGGCGATCGCCACTGAGTCTGAAAAGCACGCTTTCTAAACCAAAAACCATGCGAAGGAGCCTGTGTCGCACCCCCCCCCCGCCCCCCTGCTCCCTGCACTCTCAGGAGGGGCTGAGTTCTGCAGGGGGGTGGGGGGGCCGCCAGCATTTCCTCCTGCCGACTGCATTTGCTTGCTGTCCCCACTCAGACCAGGAAAGACTCCCACCAGCTGTCAAAAGCCAGACCAGCGCGCCCTCTAGTGGCAGCCAGCTGCACACACAGGCTACCCACCAAGGGTACACGTGGGTACATACACCCACCCGTACGCGTGCCTGTGCCGTGTCTCTGAGACGTGTGTTTCTCTGCAGGGTCTCTGAGGCAGGGCCTGGATGGTCCATGGGGAGGTTGTGATTCGCTGACTTGCAGAAGCACCTCATGCAGCAGTCACAGGACTGGGGGCTAACACTTTCTTCCTCTCTCCTCTGGGCTAAATCCCTCCCTTCGCTGTCGGCCTCTGCCCTCCTGCTTTCCGCTCTGGCCCCTGTGGTAGCAGCTGGTCCTGAGGGCGAGGTAGGGGTGTGAGGTTTGAGGGCTCGAGCGGCCAGCCCTGGTCTCCTTCCCTCCCGCCAGGCGGTCAGACAGGCCGAGCCGGGCAGGCCCTTGCAGTCTTGCTGACAGTGACAGGCAGCCTCAGAGGTGGCGTCTGGTGCGGAAGGGCCTGACCAGCCTCCTGCCCTGAAGCTGCTGCGTCCTTGCAGTTGAGTCTCCCCGCCCGGGGGGGGGGGGGGGGCAGATTTGTAAAGAACGAGAGAAACTCGGTGAGAAATTGAAGGGTTTCCAAAGGGAGGCTGCCTGCGGCTTTGTCAGAGAATCTGATTTCCTTCCGCACGTTTCCTCGGGGAAGGGACCAGAGTCACCGTGGGGTCGTTGGCAGCTGTGGGCGAGATACAGATGAGAGGTGGCTCCTGGGCAGGACCCGGGCCCCTCACCACGGGCCTGTGGGACTGGGGTTGGCATTCGGTCTGCCAGCCTCCCCACTAGCCAGTCCCTGTTCCCAGCCTGTCCCTGCAGTGTCCTGGCTGAGGCAGGGCCCTGACCAGGCAAGCAGCGCCCTCTGCTGGTCAGGAAAAAGGAGCGCGTTCCTTCTGCTGGGACCTTGAGGCACAACAGCCTAGGAGCAGGGACGGTGGCTGGGCCACACCCTGACGTCAGGGGCCTGGTGGGTTTCTGCGTGTGCATTTGTACAGCAACGGCAGCTCCAGCCTGCTGTCCACCCCGCACACGCATGCGAGGGGCCCAGAGGCGTTTGGCTGTTATCAGGGTCGAGAAGGAAGAACGCACGAGGCCACAGCGGTGAGGGATTGTACATTTATTAGGTCATCTGGAGACAGATGGGCTGAGCCCCCAAATGGCACCAGCACACAGGTGTCCGTGTCCGTGTCCAGAGACGGCCGGGGGATGGGGACTCCAGGTGGCTTTTTCTGGGCAGAGAATTCTCTGGGCGGGTCTGGGTCCTGGGAAGGTCCAGAGGGGAGAGATAATGGTCTTAGCAAGTGGAATGTGGTCTTAGCAAAAGGGAATGTCTGTTGTGAAGTGGCCTAAGGTCAGTTCCCAGGGGAGGGGCATTGATTCAGTTATTTGATCAGACCTAACAGCTGTGTGGGCAACGTTGGCGCCATAACGAAGTCCTGAGAGCAGTGACTGGCATCAGCTCCTGGTGGCAATGAGGAGATCACATCAGCGTGCCCTGCTCACTGCCTCAGTGGCTGGTGTGACCACCAGTGGAGTCAGCTGGGCACGTGACCCTGCCCATCTCAGACTGGAACATGGAGGCCAGCGAGGGCCGGGGCTCGGGGCTGGTGGGCCTGGCTCCTGCATCGTGGGCCACAGCCCCTCCCCCGCGCCCAGCACCTCGCTGGGCCTGTGGAGGAGCCTGACTTCGTGCTGAGGCCCGGCTTCCTGGCACCTGCCTCCTTGGTGGTGAGGGGAACGGGGACCAGCGTTAGCACCCCGCCCAGCACGCCATCCCTGGCTTTGCAGGCTATGTGACCTCTGTCTCAGCCACTCAGCTCAGCTGTTGTCATTGCAAAAACAGCCACAGAGAATGCCTAAATGAATGGACGGGGCCATGCACTAATAAAACTTTATTTCTACAAATCAGCAACGGTTGGCCCATTGGACACATGGAATCCTGTGACTCATCGCAAAGCCCCCTCAGTGTCTCCCAACTGTCCACAAGTGCCCAGACACAGGGATCGGTGGACTGTTATGACAACAGAGATTCTGAGGAATGGCACCTACCGTATGATAGGCACCACATTTGACCCTGGGGACACGGTGGTCAGTAGGACAGCCATGGCCTCCAGAGCTCAGTTTGGTGAGGGTCACAGACAACGATCAAATGACAGCTGTAAAGTCAGAACTGTGCCACGCGCCATGCTGGGGCCTGGCTTGGGAGAGTCAGAATTCCTGAGAAAGGGGGTTTGAGCAAAGATCTGAAAGAAAAGTTGGCATTGACTAGGGGAGAATAAGAGTTCCAGAGGGAGGAGCACGTGCGAAGGCCAGGCGGGGTCAGCGTAAGGAGCCGAGGGAGGTTTATGGGAGGTGTGGGGAGCTGATTCAGATGAGGCCTGAGAGGCGGTCAGCAGCCAGGCACACAGCCTCGGGGCCACAGGAAGGACATGGGTGTGAGCCAGTGAGCACTGCAGCATAACAGAACATCTCAAAGCTCAGCAACCAAAACAATGTCCATTGGTTTCTATTTACTTAGCTCTCAATTCCAAGTTTATCACTTGGAAGACGTTTCCTAAGGTCCCTTTCTGCCTTGGGCCCCCGAATCCTTCCTCCCCTAACGGTGCCAGTGAGATGTGGGCTGCAGTCCCCGCAGAGAGCTGCCACCAAGCCTCGCCTGTCACATTCAGAAGCTCAGAATAGGGACATAGAAAAGGCTACTTGTGCTGCTCAGGGGTGTCTGCACCAGTGGCCTCGGCGAGTGCCAGGCGGACAAGGCCAGGTGCCTGATGGAATTCACGCTTCCCGTCAAGTTTTGCCCGCCTGTGGAAGCTCACACCTGCATGCGCCTGGATGCTCAGCGCTCCTCTGGACTCTGTTCAGACAGTGCGCTTGTATCGACGCATCTGCAAAGAGCGGAGAGGGCTTGTCTCTTGTTTGAACATCTAACCTGCAGCTGAGCTGGACACTGAAAATGCTGCAGCCACGAGTCCTTCCAGACACGTGTCTGGGAGTGGCGCTCTCTTTGCAAACTGCCCGTCCCTGGCTTTGCAGCCCAGTGCAGTACCCAGTGGCCCCGCTCAATCTTGGCACCAATTATGATCTGTACTTACAACAGCCAGAGCCACTGGGATGGCGTGCAGCCGGCTCTCGTGCTGCGCGGTTTCCCAGAGAACGTCCTTCCACCAGGTCTTGTGCTGAGAGTTTGGGGAGAGCCATGCGGCCAGCATGCCTCGTGCGGGCCTGAGGCCCAGCTGCTGCGAGCTCCGCCTAAGAGCACGCTCCTTTCATGAAAAGTATAAGCAGCCTGTAAACTAAAACCCAACTGACGCCCTGCTCTTCCCCACCTCGTTCCTTCTAGAAAGTTCAGCAGTACACAGTCATTGTTCAGGCCACAGACATGGAGGGAAACCTCAACTATGGCCTCTCGAACACAGCCACAGCCATCATCGCGGTGACAGACGTGAATGACAACCCGCCAGAATTCATCGCCAGCACGGTGAGTACCCGGGGGCCCCCTGGGGACGTGACCATGCAAGGTAATTCGCTGACCCTTGGCATTTCTTCTGTCCTTGCTGCTGCAGACAGGAGGAGACGAACAGCTGGGCGGGGGCAGAGGCCCTGGACAGGGGAGGCTGATGCAGGTGACACCCCTGGGATCTGCACCCGGGGGCTGGCCTGCTGGGGGAGGCCTGTGCTCCCGTCTGGCACAGCGACACCCCCTAGGCGCAGTGGTTCTCAACCTTCCTAATGCCGCGACCCTTTAATACAGTTCCTCATGTTGTGGTGACCCCCAACCATAAAATTATTTTCGTTGCTACTTCATAATTGTAATTTTGCTACTGTTATGAATCATAATGTAAATATTTGATATGCTGCATGTGTTTTCCGATGGTCTCGACCCACAGGTTGAGAACCGCTGTGGGCCTAGGGAGCGAGGGGTGGCACCTTGAGAGGTTCCCAGGACAGAGCGAGCTGGACCCTCTTTCTGAATCCAGAAGAGCTGACCAGTGGTGCTCGGGCCCTGGCGAGGGGCGATGTCTCCGCTGCTCTTGGAGCCTGCGTGTGGCTGTGTGTGCGGTGCACCTGCTGGGGCTGTCATGTGGGGCCTCGGCCAGAGACAGGGCAGGTCTCTGCAGGAGGAAACGGGGTATACGGATAAACTGCCCCCCGCCGCCTTCCCCGGGGCACGGCTAGTGGCTGTGACCAGGCCCCGCACCAGGTGGACCTGTGGCTGAGCCCCCTCTGTGGACATTTATTCACTCACTCACTCCCAGAATGTTACTGGACATCCAGCTGGGTCTAGAGCCAGCAAGTCACAGAAACAAACTCCCCGCATGTGGGGGACGTCCCAGGGGTGGGGCTGAGGAGTCACAGCCACAAGTCACGAGGCTTCTGTCCCATCAAACCCTCAAGGCTCACTCAGTGCCGGCACATGGGAGGCACCCTTCTGTGCCACGTGGAGGTCTCGGGACCCGGCCTCCGCTCCCGCCCCCTTACCAACCTCCACCCTCCCTCAGGACCCTCAGGCCACATCCCGGGGAGTGAGACATGGGGGGAGCAGCTCCCTAGGGGCCGTGGGAGAATAACGGCACCCCGGCCCCAAGACCACATCATGGCCTCGCCCTCACCTGGCCCTCTTTCCTCCACCTGCACTGCCTCTGGTGATGGTGCCAGGAGCACATGGCTGTCTTTAGGGCACGCCAGGCCCGTGCTGGTGCGTGACCTGGGCAGCCCACCTTCTCAGGGGTCTCAAACAGCCCAGGGCAGGTGCCAGGTGCAAGGACGCCATTTCCAGGGATGCAGTCCTGTCCCGGTGCTAGCCTGGTCCAGGTGTCAGGGGGCGGCTCCCCAGGAAACAGCCTCAGGACGGCTGTGGTCACCATGGAGACCAGGGCAGAAAGCAGCCAAGCCGGTTGTCCCTGATGTGAGTAAAGGGTGGCTTCCAGCCTGAGGCCTGTGGTGACCTGGAGAGTCGGGGCTCAGCCCCCCCTGCTGGTCTCCTCAGCTCGCCAATGGGTTGGGTGCAGAGCACCCAGGAGATGCTGAAGGGAGTACCCCAGGGAGCTGGGTTTTGGCAGGAGACCTGAGAGACCCAACCTGCTCCCAGTCTTGGTCCACACCTGTTTCCATCCACAGTGGGGTTTCTTGCACCAAGGTGCCCTGGCGGAGTTTGCAGCCAGCCAGGGCTCGCAGGTGATCCCGCAGACTCGGGGCTGCAGGCTGGATGGGGAGTCAGTGGGCCCCGCACAAGGCAGACCAGAGCCCTCGCCCACCCTCCCGCCCCAATCTGGCTGATTCCATCTTTTACGTCCAAGTCGGCAGAGCCAACGCCAGCAGTCCCACCCCCTCCCAGGGCCTCTGGCCTCCTGCTTCGAGTCTGACAGGGTCATGTTCATGGTCCTGAGGTCTGATGGGCGAGACCCACAGATCTCGGTGGGTTTTCAGCAATGTCTGCGCCCACGGAGACACAGAACCTGCCCACCAGCAGCTCCTCCCGCCACCCCCCAGCATGAGCCTCATGTCCACTGCCGGGGGCTTTGCTGCTGTTCTAGACCGTCATCCGCGGGCACTCACGCAGAGCACACCCTTCCTTTCAGTCGGCATCTTCCATCCGAACAACGAACGCTCTGGGTCCCATGGCAATCACTGGGCATCTAAATTCTTGGGGTTGGGTGGCCTGTGGCATGTGGCCCTTGGGTTGGGTGACAGGCAGCCCCAACCCTGGTTTCTCCGCACCCGGGGGGAGGGCGGGGGGGCGGGACTGAGGACTGGCCACACCCTTCGCAGCAAGGGAGCTCAATCAGGAACAATCAGCAGAAGCCGAGGAGACACAGGGGTTCTACATGATCTGACTCCTGTTAAATGTTAATTAAACCTTTTCTTCGCTTCACCTGCTCTGCACGTACACCCTGCCCTGGCTGCCCCCTGCCAGCCTGCGCCCTGCTGGGCCGGCCTCTGCATCAGCACTCTCTCAGGGCGAGCCGGGGTCTGTCTGCTGCAGGGCCGGGGCCCCCAGGACCCCCTGTTTGCCTCGTCCTGGGTCCTGGAGTGAAGCCTGGAGACCCAGCGTCCTGGCCCCTGGCCACCTGCCCCACCAGGCGGGGGTCCACTTCCCTTAGACGTGGGACGGCCACCTCCTTGGCCAGGCTCCTGACCCCCAGCCCAGACCGCCGAGCTGCGTGCGGAGGTGGGGCCTCGGTGGGGCTTTCTGTCGCTCAGCTTCTCATGGGTGAGTGGGGACGCTGTCCCTGCCTGCACACAGGGGGCTCAGTAAATAGTAAAGTGGTTCTTGTTGCCGATTATTAATAACAATTACTGTTGACACCATGATCCTTCAACCTCGAAGAAAAAAGCTGCTTGGAACCGCGGGCCGATCTGTGTCGAGATCAGGAACAAACCTGCTCTGTGAACCCAAAGGCTGGGGAGGGTCTTTCAAGCCATTTTTTGAGCTAAGCGGCCGGGGCGGGGACGGGAGCACTCTCCATGGCTGCCCATTTGCTCTCCAGCAGCCCCACCAGGTGGACGGGGGCTCGCAGAGGGGCCCCACCAGCACGACCACCTCTCCTGGCCTCGGTTTCCCATGAGATGGAGAAGGAGGGAGGACAGCGCCCAGGGTCCCTCCAGTAAAGAGCCATGATCCCACCAATCTGATTCCGAGCTTAGAAGCCAGCAGAAATCATCAGTTTTCCTGGACAGAAAACTACAAACATCATAACATCCCAAGGAGCACCTGGCCTTCCTCCCCCGCAGAAGCCACCACAGATGCAGGGACAGTGCTGTGGGTCCCCAGGCGGCTCCATGGGGACCCCTCCCAGGCGTCCACAGCCCCTCCGGTTCCTCCACCAGATCCTGGCAGGATGGGCTTCCAGGGCCACGATCTGGGCTCTGGTCCCGCCCGCTGGATCAGGTCCCCAGCCAGGAGAGCTAGTTAGATGGCCTCCTCAACCCCAGGCACAGGGTCTGGGGGGCGGGGAGCGAGTGTCCGGTGCCGAGGGGCAGCTGGGGAGGGTCAAGTCCTCCCTGAGACTCATTAGGACCAGCAATGCTTCCGAGCATTCCGGGCAAAAGCAGAGCGCCATCTTGGGGTCACGGTGTCCGCGGGGCGTAGATGCCGAGGGCCCGGGGGTCTGTGTGTGCACAGGCATCACTCTCGGGCTTCTTGCCTGGCTGAGGGTGCTCCCTGCATCCTGGCTGGGCTTCCTGCTCTCACCCAAAGCCTGCTGGCCTTGCTGGCTGGGCCCCTGTGCTAACGACCTTCCCCTGGGGCAGGAGAGAGGGCCCGAGATATTAAACTGACAGCTGATGGCTGGGGCAGGCCCACGTGAACATCCCACGCCAGGCTTAGCAGCTCAGGCCTTTCTCTGTGAATCGTCATTAAACCGGCGTGAATTAAAATAGACTCTTCGAGTAAGCTTCACCCCAAAGTCGGAAGGAGTCAGACTCGGGGACACACAGCTCCGCCCCTGCCGTGGAACCAAGGCCCATGGTTCCCAGGGACGGAAACCAGCTTCAAAGGATGGAGGCGCCCACGGGGCCTCGTGGGGCCTGGTGCTGCTCAAAACTGAGCTGAGGCAGGGGCTCTTGGTTTAAGCTGAGAGGGAAGCTGCCGCAGCATGAGAGTGGCTATGAAATCCGAAGGCCTGGTGCGACCGGTGCAGGGGCTCTGCCAGGGGCCGCCAGGCGCAGGGACCTCAGCTCCTGTCCCCGACGCTGGAGGGGGTGCTGCCAACTGCAACCTGCCACTGCAGAAGCCTTAAAAATGCCTAGACGGCGGGGCCGGAGCAGCTGGCGGCCAGACACGCTCCCCGGGCACCTGGCTTTTGAAACTCACCGGGGTGGCTGTCAGCCTTGGAGCCGCCAGAGGCCCAGGCCTGGAGCCTCAAGGGCACAGGGCGGCTGTCCTTTGGCATAAAGTGGCACCTGGTCTGTTCCAGAGTGTGAAACAGGAGGTCACCTCGCTGTAAGCCAGGCACTCTGCCTCGGGGGGCTGGTGGCAGGGGCCTGTGAGGCGTGGGCACCTCACTGAAGTCAGGCCCGTGCAAAGAATTCAGGAGGAGGAGGGCTGCGCCAAGTGCCCCTGGGCCCCTCCCTTCCCCTCCTGTGACCCCCACAGTGACCAGTGCCTTCTGAGAGGCAGCCCTGGTACCATGCCCAGCACGTGGGACTGACACTCTGGGCCCCTCCCTGTATGGCACCCCAGGGTCTTACCCTCTCTCGCTGCAGTCAGTAGGGTACGGGTAGGGTTACCCTGAGGAAGCAGTGAGACCATGCATGGGCAGAGCCTGGCACGACCCCCGGCAGGCACGTCAGAGGGCACCCAGTGGTCATTGTTGGGGCTTCACTGCTGGGAATACAACCAGCAATCCCTGGATATTTGTACAAACTTCGTCTCCAGGTTTTGTGGCTCAGAAGCACACTCCACGGTGACAGGACTGGCCACACAATCTGCAGGGCCTTGTGCAAAATGAGAATGCGGGCCCCTTGTCCACAAACTGCTGCAATTTCAAGGCAGTGACAGCCGGGCATGAAACCGAACTCGGGGCCCTCCTGAGCTAGGCCACAGCAGCACAGGCCACACGCCCAAAGCCAGCCTGAGCAGTGACGCTCGGCAGGTCGAAGCGACTCGGGTGTCTATGGCCACCCAACACCCACATGCACACACACATGCCTTTCCCTGCACGTAGCTACCCTGCCACGTGGGCCACGCACACTGATGGGAGAGGCTTGCGGCCCTCATTGTGCTGCGACAGGTCAAAGGGTTGAGTCCAGGTGTGGTCACCCGCTCGCCTCCAGCGCAGACCCCGAGCCCGGCCTGTGTCAGGACCACCAACGGCAGAACCGATGTTCTCCTCCGGAGCGCCGTCCACTGCCCTGTCCCCGTCCTGCAAGCACATCTGGGCTCCCGTGTGTCCCTGGCTCTTGCATTAGTCCTCTGGGACGTGGGAACTGCCTGAGGGGGACTAGGAGAGAGGCGTGGCGTGCACGCGTGTGCTTGTATGTGCGTGCACGCAGGTAAGGATGTGATATGTGCAGATGTGAGTGTCTGGCCTTGCTGGGCCTCCCTGGAGGCACCACCAAGAACGTGGGAGGGACCCAGGGGCCCACCCACAGGAACCATGAGTCTGAGAGCAGTTGGCAGAGACTCTCTCCCGACCTCTCCGGGCTGCTAACGGGCTCTGACATCCCCTTCTCTCTGCTTTGCAGTATGCAGGGGAAGTCCCCGAAAACCGGGTGGAGACCGTGGTCGCAAACCTCACAGTGATGGACCGAGATCAGCCCAAGTCACCAAACTGGAATGCCGTCTACCGCATTATCAGTGGGGACCCCTCGGGGCACTTCACCATCCGCACGGACCCCGTCACCAACGAGGGCATGGTCACCGTGGTGAAGGTGGGTGCTCACCTCACTTCCTGCCAGGCACCCCTGGCACGTGCCCCAGAATAAGTTCAACAGAAATGATCTTCACCCCTAACATCCAAGAACAAAGGATGGCACCCAACACGCTGGTGGCAGAGGCAGCCTTCACGAGGACCTGGTCATGTGACCTCCAGGGACTCGGCAGACTGACCAGCCCACCCCCCAGAGTTACTCTCCCAGCCCCTGCCTGAAGGCTAGCTCTTTAGCCTATAATGGGTGACCTCCACCGAACACTGAAGGTGACCACCCTTGCATTCCTGAGTCGCAGCCACGTGGTCACGGAGGAGGGTTCTGTAATCCGAGGCAGGACTTGCTTTGCTGCCACCTGAACATTTTCCCTGTATTTTTGGAGCAGTTTAGGCCAATACTTTTCCTTTCCCATACTGTCTCTATCTAGGCTTTGGTACCAAGATTACAGTCTGCAGAAGTGTGCGGGGGTGGGGAGGGTTTGGTTACACAGGCAGCAGGAGGGGACCTGGGGGTGAACTCCTGTGTCTGGTCATGGTGGCGGGTATATGACTCTACTGATCAAAATCCACAAGTGACTCTTGGCGTATGCAAATTTTTAAAAATGTTTTATTGATTTGAGAGATAGAGGGAGGGAGAGGGAGAGAGAGAAGCATTGATGTGAGACAGAAATATCCATCAGCTGCCTACTACATGCCCCCCATTAGGGATCGAGCCCAAAACCCAGGCATGTGCCCTGACCCCGAATCGAACCAGTGACCTTTTGGTGCATGGAACGACGCCCAGCCAGCTGGGTCACGCTGGCCAGGGCTGCGTATGCAAATTTGAGAATAAGTTTTAGAACACTGAGCTGGGAGTCCACACAGCCCCACGGTCCGCACAGTGTCATGGTCACTGTGTCCCAGGCAGAATTCAGCAGTAGGCACCACACTTTCCCCATTTTTCTTTCATTTTTGCCTTTATTTCCTACAGGGCTTTCCTCTGAGATTTCCACTTAAAGTGTGTGTAAGGCGAGATGTTTCATCTTAGCGTTTTCAAATCGGGTTTGCGTTCTTAGATAAGGACCTCATCCTTTCGGACACTCGCCTTCTGAGGGGGTGGCCCGGAGGGGCTGGTGTGTGACAGGGACATGGAAGTGCGGGGACAACTAGGGAACCCAGCCCTCAGGGGAAGTCGGTGCCTTGGGGACATTTGTTCTTGGGTCCCATGCTGGGTCTTCGTTCTCGGACCCCTGCCACGCCGGCCGCCCTCTGGGTGCTGTTTCCCACATGAGGCTGTGGGGGGAGCAGCGCCCAGTTTCACACTCACAGTAAAACAGATCCTGGATGTAAGGCCTTGGCCAGCGCCTGCCCGGAGCAGGAGCTCAGCGACAGCCAGAGCAGCTGCAGGAGTGGTTGTCACGTCCTCACGGACTGGCTGCTCCCCAGCTCATTCTCACTGCCGTGTACACACACTGTGGCCCCGACCCGCCACCACCCGCCCTGCAGGGTCTGTCTCCACAGAGGGACATGGGGCAGGGATGTCGCGTGACCTCATGGCAGGTGCGTGCTGGAGGTCCCAGCCCAGCAAGGCCGGCAGAGCGCCTCTCCTCGGACACACCCAGCGTCTAGTTCTGGCCCCCGTGTCCCCTGGACGGGGACGCTGCCCTTCTCTGAGGGTTCTGTGCGTCTGGGGCTGATGCAGCGGGGAGGGGCGTGGAGATGCGGGGGCGCCTGGGCACAGGTGTCGGCGCTCGCCTGGTCCTCAGCCTTCTGCCTCAGCTCCTGGCTGCACCTCCCTCCCACCCTGCGGTCCAACTGGCTCGCTGTTAGAGAAGCCCACAGTCATCTCAGGGGGTCTTCTGGGACCCGCCCAGCCCCACCAGCCCCCCAGCTCTGTCCTCCGGGCGAACGGGACCTGGGGGCTCCTGGAGCCTCACCACCTGTGAGCTGTGCCCAAAGAGGGGCACACAGCTCGTCGGCTCTCAGACCCCTCGAAGCAGCATCTGTCACCACGCCACACCCTCAGGAGCCCCTGTCTATGCTCTCCTCCCTCACACCCCCTCCTGCAGCCATGAAGTCACAACTTCCCCCAAGGAGACACCCCAGCTCAGATCATCAGGTTCTCCCAGGTCTTCACCTGGGCCTTGGGGTTTCAACGCAAACCCAACCCTGGACTCTGCTTGCCTTCGTGACAGGGACTCCGAGGCAGTGAGTGAGCTGTGGGCAGGTGACAGGGCGTCCGAGGCGGTGAGTGAGCTGTGGGCCTGGAGACAGGGTGTCCGAGGCAGTGAGTGAGCTGTGGGCAGGGGACAGGGCGTCCGAGGCAGTGAGTGAGCTGTGGGCAGGTGACAGGGCGTCCGAGGCGGTGAGTGAGCTGTGGGCCTGGAGACAGGGTGTCCGAGGCAGTGAGTGAGCTGTGGGCAGGGGACAGGGCGTCCGAGGCAGTGAGTGAGCTGTGGGCAGGTGACAGGGCGTCCGAGGCGGTGAGTGAGCTGTGGGCCTGGAGACAGGGTGTCCGAGGCAGTGAGTGAGCTGTGGGCAGGGGACAGGGCGTCCGAGGCAGTGAGTGAGCTGTGGGCAGGTGACAGGGCGTCCGAGGCGGTGAGTGAGCTGTGGGCCTGGAGACAGGGTGTCCGAGGCAGTGAGTGAGCTGTGGGCAGGGGACAGGGCGTCCGAGGCAGTGAGTGAGCTGTGGGCAGGTGACAGGGCGTCCGAGGCGGTGAGTGAGCTGTGGGCCTGGAGACAGGGTGTCCGAGGCAGTGAGTGAGCTGTGGGCAGGGGACAGGGCGTCCGAGGCAGTGAGTGAGCTGTGGGCAGGTGACAGGGCGTCCGAGGCGGTGAGTGAGCTGTGGGCCTGGAGACAGGGTGTCCGAGGCAGTGAGTGAGCTGTGGGCAGGGGACAGGGCGTCCGAGGCAGTGAGTGAGCTGTGGGCAGGTGACAGGGCGTCCGAGGCGGTGAGTGAGCTGTGGGCCTGGAGACAGGGTGTCCGAGGCAGTGAGTGAGCTGTGGGCAGGGGACAGGGCGTCCGAGGCAGTGAGTGAGCTGTGGGCAGGTGACAGGGCGTCCGAGGCGGTGAGTGAGCTGTGGGCCTGGAGACAGGGTGTCCGAGGCAGTGAGTGAGCTGTGGGCAGGGGACAGGGCGTCCGAGGCAGTGAGTGAGCTGTGGGCAGGTGACAGGGCGTCCGAGGCGGTGAGTGAGCTGTGGGCCTGGAGACAGGGTGTCCGAGGCAGTGAGTGAGCTGTGGGCAGGGGACAGGGCGTCCGAGGCAGTGAGTGAGCTGTGGGCAGGTGACAGGGCGTCCGAGGCGGTGAGTGAGCTGTGGGCCTGGAGACAGGGTGTCCGAGGCAGTGAGTGAGCTGTGGGCAGGGGACAGGGCGTCCGAGGCAGTGAGTGAGCTGTGGGCAGGTGACAGGGCGTCCGAGGCGGTGAGTGAGCTGTGGGCCTGGAGACAGGGTGTCCGAGGCAGTGAGTGAGCTGTGGGCAGGGGACAGGGCGTCCGAGGCAGTGAGTGAGCTGTGGGCAGGTGACAGGGCGTCCGAGGCGGTGAGTGAGCTGTGGGCCTGGAGACAGGGTGTCCGAGGCAGTGAGTGAGCTGTGGGCAGGGGACAGGGCGTCCGAGGCAGTGAGTGAGCTGTGGGCAGGTGACAGGGCGTCCGAGGCGGTGAGTGAGCTGTGGGCCTGGAGACAGGGTGTCCGAGGCAGTGAGTGAGCTGTGGGCAGGGGACAGGGCGTCCGAGGCAGTGAGTGAGCTGTGGGCAGGTGACAGGGCGTCCGAGGCGGTGAGTGAGCTGTGGGCCTGGAGACAGGGTGTCCGAGGCAGTGAGTGAGCTGTGGGCAGGGGACAGGGCGTCCGAGGCAGTGAGTGAGCTGTGGGCAGGTGACAGGGCGTCCGAGGCGGTGAGTGAGCTGTGGGCCTGGAGACAGGGTGTCCGAGGCAGTGAGTGAGCTGTGGGCAGGGGACAGGGCGTCCGAGGCAGTGAGTGAGCTGTGGGCAGGTGACAGGGTGTCTGAGGCAGTGAGTGAGCTGTGGCCCAGGAGCCTGAGGCGGTTTGGGTGGCAGGAACACTGGGCAGGGGTCCGTGAGGGGGTCGGCTTCCCCTGCACCATTTTTCCCACCAGCCCCTGGCAGTTCTTGGAGTCCTGGCTCCCAGTGTATGACTGGCCTGCTGCCATGTGTGCCCCGGGGTGCCATGCTGGAGCCGGCCCCGCCCGCACACCCTACCCCCTCAGCTTGAGCCAAGGGTCCCGCCACAGCGAGAGGGGGCAGCCCAGCTGAGATGAGAGCAGGTCCTGCCGCTGAGAGCGAAGCCGCTGGAGCACATTCCTGTTGACCCCTCCATTGCAGATACGCCTTATTCACCTCCTGGGACTCTGTGGCCATAGTAGCGGTTCTGGAAGGCGTCCTCTCTCAGGCTGGGGACACAATTTGTAATGCGTGACAGGCAGCATTTTCCAGGTCCTCCAGGGACGCGGACCCATAACCGAGAGAAAGACCACTCGCTCAGTGACGTATTCATGGACAAGGACATGGTGACTTTATGTGGCAGTGAAGTTAAACACAGGAGCCCAGCTCTCAAAGCACCTGGGGAGGGGCTGGTGCGTCGGCAGCTATTCGGTTCTGGGTGCAGGTGGGTGCTGCGTGCCCGGAGGCGGCTGAAGCCGGAGCAGAGGGTTGGCACCTGGGGGTGGCCATCATGGTCTCTGGACAGAAGTCCCTGGTGAGATATTTCAGGTGGGAAGTGACAGGGGGTGGATCCTGCATTGGGTGTCTCGACAGAGTGACAGGCAGCTTAGGCCACTGAGAGCCCTACCCGGTGACACCTGTGGGTGCGAGGCCCCTCCCTTCATCACAGAGCTGAGCAGCACCCAGCGTGGTGCTGGGCAATGGGCAGGGATGAGCTAAGGGCGCGTCAGATCACCCCTACGTCCCCAGGCACCTGTGGGGCACCGCTGACCCAAATGGCAGCATGCTGAGCGCCGCGAGGGGTGGGACCTCAGCCATGAGGACACGTGTGCCCTGGGGGGAGGCGGCAGGGACCGCCCCTTCCTTCGGTGGACAGGAGACCACGCCTGGAGAGGAGGAGGGCTCCCCAACGTCACGGGGGCTGTGGGAGGACAGTGGGGCATCACCACCAGAGCCCTGACCTCCGCCACTGCCTCTGGCTTCTCCTGCGGGGCCACTCCTGCTTCCATGACCCGTGTCTGTCCTTTTCCAGGCCCATCGGCTTACGTACTTAATCCCTCCCCTTTGCACTTAATTCCCCAGTTAGTAGACTGTAGACCTGGTCTAGTCGGGGGGGGGGGGGATCCTGGCACCCCCAAAAGAGGCACCTGGAAATCACCACACACAGGGGTTTTAAACCACAGAAATGGGTTATCTCGTGCTTCTGAGACCAGAAGTCCGGAATCCAGGTGTGGGCGGGGCTCCCTCCGGAGGCTCAGCAGCTCCTGCAGCCTCTCCCATGCTGGTGGCATCTGGTGTCCCTCGCTCCGGCTGCATCATCATCCCGCCTCTGTCTTCACCTGGCCTCTGCCCGTGCCTATCCGTGCTCTGTCTCCCTGCCTCCCTCTCGCAAGGGCACCTGTGCTTGGGTTGGGCCCAGCCTCAATCCAGGATGACTTCATCTCAAGATCTATAACTTCATCACATCTGCAAAGACCCTATTTGCAAATAAGGTCCCATTCACAGGTTCCAGGGGGACGTATCTTTGGGGGGCCACCATTCAACCCACGATACCTAGGGGGACACTGTGAAAGGCCACGGCCAGCGTGGCTTTCGGGTTCAAAGGTTTGGAGAAAGAGTTGACGCACAAATTGACACATAAGTCAAGAAATATTAATTTTGAAATTATGGGGGAAGCCAGGGGAAAACTCGACTGTAGTAGTCAAGTTCCCCTGAGTCTCCATTCCTGCCTGCTTTTATTTACTAGAATACACAATTGCCTTTTAGGAATGTAAACAGACATATCAATGGTAATGTTTAGTAAACAGTAAGATTATCAGGTTTTGGGGGGAGTTTGCTTTAGGCCATTGAGTCAGCAGTAGGTAATAAAATGCAAATATTCACCCTGTGAATATCAAAGCCCAAACTCAGCCTTCTGGTGGATTCCTAGCATCTACATTAATTACTGTTGATCTTGGTTTCCAGCAGGACACCCCTGGGCAAATGACACTCAGCTGGGGGAACAGGGCAGGCATGGCATCCCCGTGCCTGATGACAGCCAAGCCATGGAGGGGAGTCCAGCTACAGCCCACTGTGACACAGGAGGGCAGGGTGTCGGGGTCCTTCACCCCAAACTCTCTCCTCCCATTGGTCAAACCCAGCAGGAAGCCAGAGACAAGGCAGTCTGGGGGATGGCATCCCTTGGGGCCAGTCTCCTGGGTACAAAGCAGGGAAATGTAGCAACAGACAGGGGCGGTGGGTGCTGACCATCCAGCCCCGCGGCACGCCCTCTGTCCAACCCCACGCACCTCTGCAGCTCACACGATGTCTTCTCACCCCAGGCAGTGGACTACGAGCTGAACAGAGCGTTCATGCTGACCGTGATGGTGTCCAACCAGGCGCCTCTGGCCAGTGGGATCCAGATGTCCTTCCAGTCCACAGCGGGGGTGACCATCTCAGTCATGGACGTCAACGAGGCCCCCTACTTCCCCTCCAACCACAAGCTCATCCGCCTGGAGGAGGGCGTGCCCCCGGGCACCGTGCTCACCACATTTTCGGCAGTGGACCCCGACCGCTTCATGCAGCAGGCCGTGAGGTGGGTCCGAGACGTGGCGCCCTGCCACTCAGGCCCTGGACCAGGGCTCTGCACACTCAGGCCCCCACTTTCCAGGAGAGGAGCCTGCACGCCCCATGAAACCTGAAACCAGAACGTCCCCCTCCCTTTGGGGCTCAGGCAGCCCAGACCAGCCGTGTCTTTCCAGGCGGGAGCCATGGGCCCAGTCCTGAGGGCAGGCAGCCGCACGGGCGATGCCACAGCCACGGGGTTGTCCTGACTGACACACAGTGTCCGGAGTCGGGCTGGGTCCTGCTCCTGGCCTCGCTCTATAGCTGCATGATTGCAGGTCCCTCGTCTCCCTGTGCCTCAGTTTCCCCACCTGTGAACGAGGGTGATGAAAGAGTCCGCCCCAGCGGTCCTGTGAGGATGTGGAGCCCGCCCGCCTTGGTGACCATGAGTCCCTGTTGTCACCGTCCCACCGTGGGAGGACCCTGCGTGGGGCTGGAAGCCACCTGGTGCCCCAAAGAGTGGGCTGGCAGCCCACAGGGGCTGGGGCTCCAGGACAGACCCGTGCTCCCCAGCCCTCGGCTCACCCCCGCTTCTCCCTCCGCAGATACTCAAAGCTGTCAGACCCGGCCAGCTGGCTGCGCATGAACGCCACCAACGGGCAGGTCACCACGGCGGCCATCCTGGACCGCGAGTCCCTCTACACCAAAAACAACGTCTACGAGGCCACCTTCCTGGCGGCTGACAACGGTGCATCCCGCCCCGGGTGACTGTGGTTGCTCACCCATGCCTTGGGCTCTGGCAGGGAGCCTGAGGGAGGCCCACCGGCACCAGAGGGGAGGCTGCAGTGGGAGGCGCCAGGCCAGGTGCCCCGTGCACAGCCGGGCCAGGGCCTCGCCGTCCGTCAGGGCCCCAGGCAGTCATCCTCCCCGCGTTTATTCAGAGCATCGCCATTCTACCTGCCCACCGACTCTCTCACGCCCATCCGACCATTCCCACGGTCGCCAGGGAGGAGGCGGCGGGGAGGGAGCCAGGGATGGTGCGGTCAGGCTGGGTTTGTCCCCGCCCTGTGGTGGCTGAACTGCTTCTCAGCCTCCCCCCTGAAACTAAGGCACATGCACGTTTCTGCTGAGCAGCGCTGGCCCAGGACCCTGGGGACTGGGCCTGGCTCCAGCCAGCACGGCTGCTGCTGTGACTGCTCCCTGACCCCTGCTGTCGCCTGGCACCGCTCCTCAGTGGACACGCAGACAGACACCCTCTCTGCGTGGCTGGCATTCCAGAGGCCGGTGTGTTCGCTAGAACCAGGGTCAGCTGCATAGTAATGACAGTAATTCAACCCGATTAGGCTGGCGGCAGGCAACCAGGGTCTGGCCTGAGAGATGGCTCACTCTGCCATGCCGTGTCTTTGGGGAGCTGCCGCGTGGCCCAGAATGACTGCTGGTGCTCCAGCCATCATGACCACATCTGGCAAGCAGGAGGAGCAGGGAGGGCAAGGACGTCCACTCACAGCTCACGAAGGCCAGAACTTAGTCTGAAGCCATGCCTCGCTGCAAGGGATGCTGAGAAACTTGGCCTTCCAACCAGGCAGGGGTGACCCCAGATAAAACTGAGGGCCAGTTCTTTTTATGAAGGAAGAAAGGGGACATGGGTGTTGAGGGAGACTCAGCAATCTGCCCAGGGAGACGGGTGAGAAACAAGTTGACCAGGTCATTTCAGGAGCAAGAAGTGCTGGGAGAATCAGAACAGGGGAGGAGAGGGGCGGCCAGGGCCTCCTGCAGTCCCTGGGCTCTGAGGAGCTGCATGGGGGGCCACAACCTGCGGGACCAGAAGGGACACGCCCGGGAAATGGGCGGAGGGAAGGCCCAGAGTCAGGAAGCAGCCTGTGCAGGCCGCGGGGCACACTGTGCCTGCTGGGTTCTAGGCACAGCTGTGCGGCTAGAATTCGTGAGGCTCGAGACATAGCCCGCGAGAGCCGGGTCCTGGCAAGCTCCCCCGCCTCCTTCCCGCCTCCCTGACGGCGGGTCCGTGAAGGCGCTGCAGCCACCTCTTCTCCAGCAGCTCCGCCCCAGGTTAGGTTAGGCAGTGACTGTCGGTGGCTCCGTGGCTGGAGTGCGGCACGTGGAAGACCCCGAATGGAGCGCCAGCCGCGGGGCAACAGGACCTGCCGGTGCTGCTCACACAGCTTCTAACGGCAGCACCGAGCTGTGTGGCCGTGATGATCGTGAAGATTAAAGAAACGTGCTCCACTTGTCTCAGCCAAAAAACATGGTTGCTGGTGTCGGGGTCAGGAGCTGGCCTTGCAAGGCACAGCCGCTATCAGAAATTGTTGCCACCCCCTGCCGTCCTGGAGGGCAGATAGCACATGCTTCTGCAGCTGCCCAGCCTGCGCCCACCATACCATCGGCCTGGGCCAAAGCATGGGGGGCGCGAGGGGCGGGGAGGCCCTGAGGAGCCCTGGGCCTCAGCAGAGCGTCTGTTAGCACCTGGAGGCCAGCAGAAGCGGAAAAACTGCTACAGAGGGTGCCTGCTGGGGCAGAGGGGCGCCTGCTGGGGCAGAGGCCCTCAATCCCAAACTCGTCTTGCCAGTTCCCTTCCCCAGGAACACAGTTCCTAAGGCTCTCTGTTTGGTTATAAGAGGCTGAGCGCAGGGCGCCTGGCCACAGGGAGCCCAGCTGGGGAGGAGGGCCAGGGCAACCTGGAAGACTGGGGAAGGGGTCCTGAGTGTGGTTGTGAGCTCTGTGGGCGCCGTCTCCTGCAGCTGTGCTCTGTGTGGAGGTGTGTGCGCATGTGTGTGTGTGTGTGCATGTATGTGCACAGGCATGTGTTCCCATGGCTCTACTTCTGTCTGTGCATATGTTGTGTGCAGTTAAGTGGGTGCTGGTGCAGCTTTGGGATGTTCTGGGTGGGGCTGTGGTATGTCCTGTGGTCCTGGAGTATCAGCAGTGACCCCGCCTGGTCACCCGTGTCTGTCCCACAGGGATCCCCCCAGCCAGTGGCACCGGGACCCTCCAGATCTACCTCATCGATATCAATGATAACGCCCCCGAGCTGCTCCCCAAGGAGGCGCAGATCTGCGAGAAGCCCAGCCTGGACACCATCAACATCACAGCAGCCGACGCCGACATCGACCCCAATGTTGGCCCCTACGTCTTTGAGCTGCCCTTCGTTCCCGCCGCTGTGCGGAAGAACTGGACCATCACCCGCTTAAATGGTGAGCCTCACCCAGGCACCAGGACAATCAGACTGAGTCTGCGGTGCAGCCCCCAGGGGCCCGTCACCCGGGAAGGCGGGCAGCAAGGAGGGGAGCTGGCCCCACACGAGGGGTACCTAGCCTGTCCCCTGTAGGAGTCCCTATGAGGCTGGGGCCCCGCTGTGCTCCAGTGCTCAGACACGCCCAGTCCTAGGCTCTCACTGTTTCAACGATCCCAGCGTGAACATCCTTGCAGCTGACCCCCGACCAATATATTTCCTGGGAGTGGGCTCATAGAGAAGGTACCGGAATTCTGAATTCTGCTAGCAGTGTGCAGTGTGTCTAGAAAGGTGACACAATTTCCAGTTTCACTAGACGAGCAGGAGTGGGCTGGTCCCCAAGCCTCACCAACACAGAGTGTTACTGTTTGAAAACCACTTTCTGATTTCTTAACCCAAATCATTGTTTCCATTTGTATTTCTTAACTAGTGGTGGACATTCTTTCATACTAGAGGCCCGGTGCACGAAATTCATGCATGGGGGGTGGTGGGCGTCCCTCAGCCCAGCCTGCACCCTCTCCAATCTGGGACCCCTCAGGGGATGTCCAACTGCCGGTTTAGGCCCAATCCCTGTGAAGACATTCCTCTCGCAATCCAGGACCACTGGCTCCTAACCACTCACCTGCCTCGCCCCCAACTGCCCTCCCCTGCCACCCTGATCTCGCCCCCAACTGCCCTCCCCTGCCACCCTGATCTCGCCCCCAACTGTCCTCCCCTGCCAGCCTGATCTTGCCCCTAACTGCCTCTGCCTCGGCCCCCACAACCATGGCTTTGTCCGGAAGGAAGTCGGACATCCAAAAGATGGACGGTTAACCCGGTCTAATTAGCATATTACCCTTTTTTTTTTAATATATTTTATTGATTTTTTACAGAGAGGAAGGGAGAGAGATACAGAGTTAGAAACATCGATGAGAGAGAAACACCGATCAGCTGCCTCCTGCACATCCCCCACTGGGGATGTGCCCGCAACCCAGGTACATGCCCTTGACCGGAATCGAACCTGGGACCTTCCAGTCCGCAGGCCGACGCTCTATCCACTGAGCCAAACCGGTTTTGGCAGCATATTACCCTTTTATTAGTATAGATATTTATTGGCACTTTTTGTTTCTTCTGTTAACTGTCTGCTCAGTGCCCCACCTATTTTTCTCTGAGGTTTTTGCTTTATAGTTGATTTGGTCAAACTCTTCATACAGTAAGGAGATAGTTCTTCATCCCAAGTGTTCAGTGTCTTTTCTTGAATTGCCAGTGTCTTTTACCTTCATGGTAAGATGTAGTGTGTGTACGTGCATGCATGTGCTGGTATATGATTACACCTGTGTGTGTGTGTGTGTGCTCATGCATGAGTATACCTGTGTGCGCATTATATGCTTGTGTGAGAGTGTACATGTATGTGCATGTATGTGGTTATACATGTGTATACATGTATATGTATTGTGTGCTTGTACATGAGTATATCTGTGTGTGTACATGTGTGTGGTTATACCTATGTATACCTGTATGTGTATGCATGTGCTTGTACATGATTATACCTGTGTGTGTGTGCTCATGCATGAGTATACCTGTGTGTGCATTATATGCTTGTATGTGAGTATACCTGAGTGTGCATGTATGTGGTTATACATGTGTATACCTGTATGTGTATGTGTGTGCTTGTACATGAGTATACCTGTGTATGTGTGTGCATGTGTGTGGTTATACATGACTATACATGTGTGTGCATGGTGTGTTTATACATGAGTACACATGTGTGTGCATGTGTGTGCTTGTACACATTTATACCTGGATATGTATGCATGTGCTTGTACATGAGTATAGCTGTGTGTGTGTGCTTGTACATGAGTATACCTGTGTATGTGTGTGCTTGTACCTATGTATACTGGCATATTATGTGTGTGCTTGTACATGAGTATACTTGAGTATACCTGTGTATGTGTGTGCTTGTACATGAGTATACCTGTGTATGTATGTGCATTTATGTGGTCATACATGAGTATACCTGTGTGTGCATTGTGTGCTTGTACATGAGTACACATGTGTGTGTACATGTGTATACCTGTATATGTATGTGTGTGCTTGTACGTGAGTATAGCTGTGTGTGTGTGCTTGTACATGAGTATACCAGTATATTATGTGTCTGCTTGTACATGAGTGTACTTGAGTATACCTGTGTATGTGTGTGCTTGTACATGTGTATACCGGTATATTATGTGTGTGCTTGTACATGAGTATACTTGAGTATACCTGTGTATGTGTGTGCTTGTACATGAGTATACCTGTGTATGTGTGTGTGCTTGTACATGAATATAGCTGTGTATGTGTGTGCTTGTACATGAGTATACCTGTGTGTATGTACCTGTCCATGAGTATACCTGTGTATGTATGTGCTTATACATGAGTATACCTGTGTGTATGTGCTTGTACATGAGTATACCTGTGTATGTGTGTGTGCTTGTACATGAGTACACCTGTGTATGTATATGCGTGTGTGCCTATACATGAGTATACTCGCGCGCGTGTGTGTGTGTGTGTGTGTGTGTGCGCCACACAGACTGAGAGTTTCATGCTGTCAGATTCAGTCTTTCCTTCAGAAGTTGTGCTCGGGAAGGAGGGCCAGGTGTTCACTAACAAAGCGCATGCTGTTGCTTTGTGCCAGGCGACTACGCCCAGCTCAGCTTGCGCATCCTGTACCTGGAGGCGGGAGTGTACGATGTCCCCATCATGGTCACAGACTCTGGGAACCCGCCCCTGTCCAACACGTCCATCATCAAAGTCAAGGTGTGCCCATGCGACGAGAACGGCGACTGCACCACCATTGGCGCGGTGGTGGCAGCTGGCCTGGGCACAGGTGCCATCGTGGCTATCCTCGTCTGCATCGTCATCCTGCTGAGTGAGTACGGCCGAGCACTGCAGGCACACACCACCCAGGGTTGTCTAGGAGGAGGCGGAGCCTGGGTTGGCCCTGCAGCCCACATCTCCCCACCTCTCCCGACCTCCACGGACCTTTCCGAAAGCCCGTTGAACCGGTCCGTGTGATCGCAGACACACTCATGAGCATGCATGCATCCCAGCACGTTCACATGGGCTGTCCATGTGCATACGTGTGTGCATGGCTGTGCATGCATGCACATGCATATCCACATGTGGACGTGCACAGCGTGTACACAACAGGCAGCAATATGCACCCTCTCACAGGTGCACAGCCCACCCATATTCGTCCCAGTGCACACAGGCGCACATAACACATGGTGCTTGCCTGCACACGTGCACACACACCCCTGCTCATGGCGCCCCCAAACCCCACAGCCATGGTCCTGCTGTTCGTCGGGTGGATGAAGCGGCGGGAGAAGGAGCGCCACACAAAGCAGCTCCTCATCGACCCGGAGGACGACGTGCGCGACAACATCCTCAAGTACGATGAGGAGGGCGGCGGCGAGGAAGACCAGGTGAGGCGGCAGTGTGTCCTTGGTCACAGCGGAAGGTGGCCATGTCTAGTGAGGACCGCAGAACCCTCTTCGCCAGCTGGGCCTCTCTGCCCGCGTTTCCATGCACTTGCACCGCTGCCTCCCCGAGGGGATCCAGCCTCGGCTCTGGGTCCCCTCACCCTGCTCCCTGCGCCCCAGGGGCTGGGAAGGACAGACCCGTGTGCCAGGGCTGTGGGGTGACCAGGAGCTGCCGGGTTGGACCTTGCGCTCGCCACAGCCATTGTGGGAGTCGGGGAAAGTCCTTACCCCACTAAAGCTTCCTGTCCCCGCCCAGAACAAGAGTGACAGCAGCCCTAGCTCTGGGTGTTCTGAGGAACAAAGGAGGAACGAGTGAGGGAGTGGAGCAGCATGGGCAGCGGGGTCCCCTGGGGGCCCATTAGGCCAGTGAAGGCAGCCAGGGGCACAGGCCCCCACGAGCCTTCAGAACAATCAGGGTCTGGACGGAGAGGAGGTGGGCATTATGGGAAGGCGACGGGGGGAGTGAATAGGACAGTGGATTTCGCTGGCGCCCTGCCTGCTGCCCGCCCGAGCCTCCCCCTGACTCCTTTCGGCCCGCCCAGGACTATGACCTCAGCCAGCTGCAGCAGCCGGAGGCCACGGAGCACACGCTGAGCAC